TTCCGACTGTAGTTAGTGTGTGATGTCGCTGTTTCTGACTGTAGTTAGTGTGTGATGTCGCTGTTTCTGACTGTAGTTAGTGTGTGATGTCGCTGTTTCTGACTGTAGTTAGTGTGTGATGTCGCTGTTTCTGACTGTAGTTAGTGTGTGATGTCGCTGTTTCTGACTGTAGTCAGTGTGTAATGTCGCTGTTTCTGACTGTAGTTAGTGTGTGATGTCGCTGTTTCTGACTGTAGTTAGTGTGTGATGTCGCTGTTTCTGACTGTAGTTAGTGTGTGATGTCGCTGTTTCTGACTGTAGTTAGTGTGTGATGTCGCTGTTTCTGACTGTAGTTAGTGTGTGATGTCGCTGTTTCTGACTGTAGTCAGTGTGTGATGTCGCTGTTTCCGACTGTAGTCAGTGTGTGATGTCGCTCTTTCCGACTGTAGTTAGTGTGTGATGTCGCTGTTTCTGTTTGTAGTTAGTGTGTGATGTCGCTGTTTCTGACTGTAGTCAGTGTGTGATGTCGCTGTGTCTGACTGTAGTTAGTGTGTGATGTCGCTGTTTCCGACTGTAGTTAGTGTGTGATGTCGCTGTTTCTGACTGTAGTTAGTGTGTGATGTCGCTGTTTCTGACTGTAGTTAGTGTGTGATGTCGCTGTTTCTGACTGTAGTCAGTGTGTGATGTCGCTGTTTCTGACTGTAGTCAGTGTGTGATGTCGCTGTTTCTGACTGTAGTCAGTGTGTGATGTCGCTGTTTCTGACTGTATTTAGTGTGTGATGTCGCTGTTTCTGACTGTAGTCAGTGTGTAATGTCACTGTTTCTGACTGTAGTTAGTGTGTGATGTCGCTGTTTCTGACTGTAGTTAGTGTGTGATGTCGCTGTTTCTGACTGTAGTTAGTGTGTAATGTCGCTGTTTCCGACTGTAGTCAGTGTGTGATGTCGCTGTTTCCGACTGTAGTTAGTGTGTGATGTCACTGTTTCTGACTGTAGTTAGTGTGTGATGTCGCTGTTTCCGACTGTAGTCAGTGTGTAATGTCGCTGTTTCTGACTGTAGTTAGTGTGTGATGTCACTGTTTCTGACTGTAGTTAGTGTGTGATGTCGCTGTTTCCGACTGTAGTTAGTGTGTGATGTCGCTGTTTCTGACTGTAGTCAGTGTGTGATGTCGCTGTTTCCGACTGTAGTTAGTGTGTGATGTCGCTGTTTCTGACTGTAGTTAGTGTGTGATGTCGCTGTTTCCGACTGTAGTTAGTGTGTGATGTCGCTGTTTCTGACTGTAGTTAGTGTGTAATGTTGCTGTTTCTGACTGTAGTTAGTGTGTGATGTCGCTGTTTCTGACTGTAGTCAGTGTGTGATGTCGCTGTTTCTGACTGTAGTTAGTGTGTGATGTCGCTGTTTCTGACTGTAGTTAGTGTGTAATGTTGCTGTTTCTGACTGTAGTTAGTGTGTGATGTCGCTGTTTCTGACTGTAGTTAGTGCAACTAATACAACTAGAAACAGGGACACATTAACTACAGTCAGAAACAGCGACATCACACACTAACTACAGTCAGAAACAGTGACATTACACACTAACTACAGTCAGAAACAGCAACATTACACTCTAACTACAGTCAGAAACAGCGACATCACAAACTAACTACAGTTAGAAAAGTAAAATCATAATTAATCTAGGATCACATCATGTAACTGACTCTAAAGGGTGCCTAAAGCGTCAGATATTGAAGCATGGTCAAATTTGTCAGTTAGATGACGCCTTGGGATGAGAATGCGTTGCCGCCCCCTGTGCCAGGAGCAGCAACTCATTTGCATTTAAAGGGACAAACACAAAACGGGTGGTTTTAACCACCCTGGAAAAATGACAACTTTTACATGCTTTTACGTGGGGTATTTTGAGCTGAAATTTCACACACACACACACACACACACACACTGGAGATATCAGAGACTTATTTTACATCTTGTGAAAATAGCATCATACCACCCATCACACTGTGAGCAGAGACTCATCTGATCCTCCAGTCTGTGTCTTCAGAGCTGAAATGCTGTTAATTGAAAGTATTTGTGCAGATTTTCTGTAATAATCTCATCAGCAGCGAGCTTCATCACGCCATCTCAAACCATTAGAGATCGCTGATTCATACTGTACAGTTAATGATATTTAACAGAATTACCAGGAAATGTCACTCTAACAGTAGAGCACTGACATCATGGGAACAGGATTATTATAATTCACTAAATAAAGCTAAATACTCAATACTGCCATCGTGATATTTCTATAACTGTATTTGCAATATTTGTAAAGTGTATTTTCCTTTCTCTCTTGTATGTTTGTGATAAATTCACCAGCTGGCGAGTTCTGTTTGCTGTTTCTTACTTGACACTGGAACATTAGGCGAATTATGTTTTTGGGAATACTATTTGTTTACATCATAAATACGAGCTGCTGAACTGAATGTTGTCAAGCCGTGTGTGAGAGAGTGTGAGTGTGTGTGTTTGTGTGTCAGGATTGCTTGGCATGGAAAACCTGGAAATATCAGGCAGAGATTGAGATTTGAAGGACTTGGAGAGACACAAATTGTTCTAGTAATGAGTTTGTGATTGTGAATTCTATGAAATATATGATTTTAAAACTCCAGTCGTTCTTCATTAATGTGTCATAAACACTGACTTTTGTTTCTCTGCCTCTTCATTTTCAGTCTTGTCTGTCCTCTTTTATTTCTCTGCCCGTTTCCAAAGATCACTGGAGAACTGTTTAAACCCCCAAACACACACACACACCAACATAAAGGCTGAAGCCTGTTTCCATGGAAACAGAAAGAGGAGAGCCTGTGTGAGAGATTGTGTGTTTGTGTTCTAAAACACATCTGCACTTTCCAACATTTTCAATCTTTCACTTCTTCAGTCCTGATGTCTTTTGTTCTACGATGAACCTTGTTCTTTTTTTTTTAACTGTCCAGTCTTTATCTGTCTGTCACAGATACATTCATAGTCAGAGTTTTCTAGCTGAACTCCTAGTTTCCTAGTAAATCCCTAACCAGAAATAACCATTTGGAAATTCCTAGTTGGATATTCCTAGTGAAAATTCTGAGATAATTATGAACGATTGCCTTTGATAGCTGTCTTTTTAAAGTAGTGCATATTTACATATCTGGAAAACCATTTGATGTTTTTTTTTTTTTTCGATAATATCGGAATTATCATAAATACAGGTTTCCTAGATGAAAATTAATAGAGTTTCCTTGTTGAAAATTCCTAATTGGAAATTCCAAGTCTGAGTTTCCTAGTCATTATTTCTGAGTCGAAAATTTGTAATTGAAGTTTTCTAGTGGGATATTGGACATGAACGCCCTCTCAAGTTGAATTTCCCACTGGGAAACTCTCAGATAATTTTGATACCTGAGTTTCCGAATTGAGCGCGTAATGAACTTTAGGAGGGCGATTGCTGCTGTGACTGGTATACTTTGTCAGTTTTTACACAACAGCTGCATCACTTTGTCTTGTTGTTAAAGCAGTGCGTATTTACATATCATAGTATACTATCAGAAGAATTATCATAAATACAAGTGAAAAATTTGAGGAACTACTTTAAGTTTCATAGTCGGAAATTCCCAGTTGGATATTCGACATGAACGCTCTCTCAAGCTGTATTTACTACTGGGAAACTGAGATAATTTTGATACCCAAGTTTCTGAGTTGGGAGTGCCATAAACTTTCAACATGGTTGACGTGGGGTTGCCACCTGTCCCTGTATTACTGGGATTGTCCTTCTTTTTAATAACCTGTCCCGTGAAATGTAAGCACTGTTTTCAAAAGGCTATGTGAATATATATGTTCAAACTGTGTAGCGCGCAGCCGCGTGCATGGCAGAGAGGGAGAGACAGAGCCGGCGAACTAAGCTAACTAAGCTCCTGCTTAGGGTCCCGCCGCCACTAGGGGGCCCCCTAACTACAGATGGTAGTCGCGGGCGTCGCCGCTCAAAGTGAAATTTTCCTTTTTATGCCTTTATATCTTTATTCGTTCATGGCAAGTCTGCATTGTCAACTTCATCTTTGCAGTGACGCAGAAAACACCAGTTTATTAATAAACAATTCAATGTCTCCTTGCTATTTTTTATTTTATTCTAGCCCTTATTCCACATATTCTCGAGCCAGCAGGGTTGAGCGGTCGGAGTTGCCAAATGGATTTCTCTTCTGTTCTTTTTAACATTTTGACACACCTGCACTTTTATTTTGTTTAGTTTGTATTTAGAAACTACTTGTTACTTCAATAAATTGGATCATTTTAAGCTTGTTGCGTATTTCATTAGCATTGTGTTGGGGCGATGGGGGGAAGTGGGGCTTGAAAATTCCCCCTTGTTCAAATTGGGGAATGACCAAAAAAATTGGAGAACCACTGCGTTAAGTCAAACAACCGTGTCAGTTCGTTGTCTTCCCTGTACTTGGAAATTTGACAGCAAAAATGAAACTATTTCTCCATCTATGAGTCTATCCATCAGGTGCAGAAAAAAGATTGCATAAACGCTGCATCGCCTTGTCACTAAAGTAGTATTTATACAATAATAATAATAATAATTCCTAGTCGGAGTTTCTAGTCATAATTTCCTAGTTGGAGTTTCCTAGTCAAAAATCGGACATGAACGAACTCTCAAGTCGTATCTACTACTGGAGGGGAGAACGATTGCAGCTTTTTTGTGGATCAGTTTTTCCACAACAGCGGCATCACCTCGTCTTGTTGTTAAAGTAGTGCATATTTACATATATCAATAATGATTTGAACCATACGCAAATGTACGCACGATATGCCTTCCAGAGGTGAATCGCAAATGTATGCACGATTGTAACCGCATTACGAGAATCAAAAACTTACCGCACTCGCGTACAGCTTCATCTTGATGTGAATGAAGTTAGGCCTATAAATACACTCTAGTTTATCCTCTCAAAGGGTTTGTGTTGAGCCTAAGTGAGCAAGAATGTTCTGGAAGAAAAGTGTGAATGCTAAATAAGCACACAACACAGGGTTTAAGAAGTATATAACCAATTGTATTCCCTTCTGTTAATATACACGTATGCAGATTCATCTCACTGGAACACTCTACAATAACATTTAGAAAGAACAAGGGAGCTGAGGAGAAATGCAACTGACAAACCCGACAGGATCGGAAATAATGGAGACATTCATACAGACACACACACACACACACACACACAAGCACACAAGCAGATGGAAGAGTGAAATCAAATGATGATGGTGTCTGGTCCTCGTTGAGTGAATATGGAGAATGAACAGCCCTCCACACGCTGGGTAAAGCCAGAGCGACATGATTCAAACAGAGGATCAAAGTCTCCCGGATACTATCCCGCCAGGTAAAGGAAATGTTTTCTTGTAAACCAAATCGTATTTTGCGGTTTAATATTCAAAGGAGCATCTGCTTTCTGGAATCTGATTCACGTATCTGTGCATTTCATTGCACGTTATTTTCTTTTTCTTTTTTTCTTCTTAGGGATGATAATTAGGAAAAACACATCTCTTTTAGCACTGGGATGAGATTCAAATATTTAGACATTTCACAAACTGTTTTAAACATTTTCTTTTCATTGTAGAGTTTAGTTCTTTTAATAGAGTTGAGAAAATTAGAATACTAGAGTTCAAGATGTACATCTTCCAAGGAACAGGCCGTTTCGTCTTTCTTTCAAGAGAGTTTGTTCCGTTTTCTTAAATGCGCAAAGATAATACCTACTTTCCCCCTGAGAGAACGTGCTCAAAGACGCAGGAGAGTTCACGTTCCCTACTCGTGGAACATTATAGTCTTTTCCGTTTGACATTGTGACAAAATAAAAAAGAGAGCACGCACACACACATAGAAAACAAAACAAAAAAAAGCATCCTATGAGTCTCTGCTGTCTTCCACTGATGTGGTTTGTTGACGTGACGTGGGTCAGAGGGTCTCGATCAATCGTGTTCACGAGTCCTTTTCAAACATCTGTATGCTGTTGGGGTTGTGTTTCGGGTTCTTGAATGAGGTACTTAGAGCAGAAACCAAGATCTTCAGCGGGCCGAGGACGGAGCCCTGTGGAACCCCCAAACACACACGACGAAAATCTGCTGGAACGTGGGGTCTCCGAGGGGATCATCCACAGATGTTTCGCTAGTTGTAACGGTTTGATATATATATATATATGTATACGTATTCGTATATTAATTATTTGACTCCACAGAAACAGTATTTGTCTGTTTTCATTTTGAATACCACATGCTGGAAACACAACAGAATCACGTTGCATCTGCTCCTGAGCACCAAGGACAAGGAGGAAAAGAGAGAACAAGCCAAGAAAGGGTGTGGGAAAGAGAGAAAGAGAGGGATGAAGGGAGGGGAGGATGGAAACGTGAAGCACTTGGAAAGAGAGGGAGACGGATTTGACACAGAGCTGGTTTGGCAGTATTACGGAGGAGTGTGACTGCTTAACGTTTTCGGCACCATCTGTTCCTGAAATGTCACCTATGCCAAGCCGTTCCAATCCAACTGCTCTCATTCCCAAACAATTCTCGGCCACATCCAACGCTCTGATGGAGCAACAATGGATTGCCCAAGCAGCCTGGCATACACGGGTGTTTTGACATCAGGCTAGGAGATGATCTGAATATTGAGGACTCGAGTAGTATTTACAAAGAACAAACTAGAGCGTCAAATCAAGTGAGCGGAGAAATCCCCTTTTCATCAATACAAAAGGTTTGCAGAGTTTCTTTTCATAACAGGGATTAGCTATCAAAAAATTGAAATGAGGGAAGGAATGATTCCAAACCCAACAGACACCCTCACACTCTTTAGCGCTCGCTGGAAATGAGGCCAACAGCTAGACGAGACAGGAAATTAAAGAAGACTGATGTCAGAGCACTATAAGTGACCGGTCAACTGCCGAAAAATCTCTCTTTCCGTTCCTCATCCTATCTCTCTCCTTCTCCCGCCGTCGGTCCCTTCGGAGGCCGAGCTCAGACGTAATACTCCTTGTCTTTGTTTTTCTTGCTCTTGGTGCCCGTCTTGGCCGTGCCGGGCTGCTTCTCCTTCACTAGGGCGCCGTTGCTTTGCGTGGCCGAGTTGCTGATGTAGTTGCGGCTCTGGTCCACCTGGTAGGAGCCTTCGTCGCGGTTCCGGTACTTGTACATGGCGTAGAGGAGGATGAGGATGCAGAGAGCGGCCGCGGCTACGATTCCCACGACCATTCCTGTCGTGCTACTGGACTCGCGGATCACCTCCACTGCTCCCGGCGGCCCTCGGTCTGGCGACGAGGGGTCTGTGGTGGGGACATGGGGGAAATTGGGGGGATACGTTATACCTGGGTTGTGTCGATGCGGTTCGCCCGACGGCTGAGCGGGCGGCAGGAGCACTTGGTCACGAGTGTTCATTTTACCCGCCGGGATGTTGGGGCCACTGTTGATGCCAGGTTTGAGTCGGGAAACTGGTGGGGCCGTGGGGGTGAAGGGGAGGGGCGGCCGATGAGAGTTGGGCAAACGGGCGAAGGGCCGATCGCCCCGGGGGGGAGGCGGGAGTACCGTCCGATCAGTGACAAGGGCCGAGTTTTTATAATAATCCTCATCGTCGGACTCCGTCATCTCGCCCGAGCCGTAGGCCGAGACCTCCATGGGCTCTTCGCAGTCCTCCTGGTCAAGCGGACAAGGGGGCCGCCCGGGCAGGGCGAGAGACTCTTTGGTGGTCTCGAGCAAGGTGAGGAAGGGGCGATAGGTCGGGGGCGGGGGAATAACAGGGTAACGTGTCGCAATCGACGGGGGGTCAAGGGAATCCACAGTTATAATTGGCAACACTAGTTCACCTCCTAGGATGAAAGAGAGAAGGAACACGGCATTAGTCACCCGAGCGAGACAAGTGAACAGAAGAGAGAGAAGAACCATCATTAGAACAGGACTAAGACTTAATGAGGTTAGTTCTAAAGTTAGTTTGGTAAGCATCTATTTAAAATCAGACTATGAACAGCTAGGCTAATGCTAAAGAATTACTGGTGTGTACTTGATTACAGGGTTAGAATAATACAGACAATCATTTAAAACTTAAGCATAATGTGCTACCCAGCATAAACTAGAATGTACATTCAGATAAATCCTACACAAACAGTTCTACATCTACTGTACAGTACATTCAGACTTGGCTGTGCTAATGCTAGTGCTAGTGCTAATGCTAATGCTAACCTCCACTCACTGCATGTTTAACAAGATAGCAAACCACGTAGTACAGGTCACTTACATTAACAAATTGGCCGCATGATTTTTGCATGAAAAAAAAAATTACAAAAAGAAAGCTGTGTAAGATTGTTCTCGGATAGTGATAAACAAATTTCACCCCATGTTTCAAAGTGTTTTAAAGTGTTTTGAATTCATCATTCACTGAACGTTTTTCCCGGAGCTCACAAAGCTCATAATTCCCGCTCCCCGTTGGCATGGTGATATCTCGCTAATGATGAGGATCTATATGCAAAACGTCCCACTCTCACCCCGGGATACCGAAGGTGATATTTTCAAATTACTGTCCCACAAGATTTCCCCCTCCCCAAAACACAGACCGAATCTTTCAACATAATTACCCATAAGCCTGTCTTTTGGAAATCTCAGAGCATGAATAACAAAAGCCTGTTTTCCTCTGAGTGTCAAGGAATGCCAAAAGTTAAATGATACAAGTTTTCGTTTGACGTCGCGCCGCTCAGATTTAGACTTGTCAAACATCAACACCTTTTAATGGAGCATANTTGTCCTAACCAGACGCGACGGCGACATGCGAAGTTTCTAATTTAGAAACGGTTCCTATTTCTGCGACGTCGCGGCTGACAGAATGAAAAAATTACACTGATTATGAGTACACATTATTTATTTTTAGTTAAAAATAGGTCGCTGTGCCACAAGATAACGGATAATTTACCTCAGATTTTGAAAGCATGTAATATAGCGTTCAAAATGAATTCTATGCAAACATATACAACTGTACTTCATAACAAAATTAGTCAATGAGTATATTTTGTTAATGTTTAGATTTTTAATAATGTTATTTCTTGATTTGATTATGTCCTTACCCATATTCAATGCGAGTGCGGGCCAAGAGAGAGACTCCGCCCACAAACTGTTCTGAATCTCACAGTCGCGTCACGTCTAGTGTGGACAGACACACTTGCTGTCGCTGGAATTTCGTGTAGTTAGGACACGGTGTGACTTTTTTCTCGCAATCGCTTGTTCATTCGCAATCTCAGAATTCTGACCTTCTTTCTGCACTTTTGTGTTTATAGTACTGCAGTATTAAGACAGAGAAAATGAAATACTGCAAAACAAGCAGCGAACAAGACAAAAGTATGTTAAAACCGTCTTCCGAAAGCTCTTTCTAATAGAAGTTCGTTTTCGCCATGGAACAAAAATATTAAAAAAGTAATTGTGACTTTTTATCTCACAATTCTGACATTTTTTTTTCAATATCTTGAGTTTATATCTCGCAATCCTGACTTTAATATCTGGCGACTAAAAACTAAAAATACCATTAAAACCGTCTTCTGACATCCTACATCTCCCTCTCTCTGAAATTCCTTATTTATATATATATATATTATTATTGTTATTATTATTATATATTTTTATTTTTTATTTTATATATATATATATATATTCTTATATGTGGAGATTTTTCATGGCATCTGTTTGTATATAGTTCAATGAGCTTTGATTTGTATCTGGTATGTTAACTTAAAAAATATAAAAAATATGGATCACAAAAAAAAAAGAAAACGTCTTCTGAAACCTAATTTTCGACAAACAGAAATATGAAAAAGGTAATTGCGACTTTTTTCTCACAATTGCGAGTTTATAAATAAATTACAATTCTGATTTTTTTCTCGCAATCACTTGTTCATTCGCAATATCAGAATTCTGACCTTTTTTGCACTTTTGTGTTTATACTGCAGTATTAAGACAGAGAAAATGCAAATACTGCAAAACAAGCAGCGAACAAGACGAAAATACGTTAAAATAGTTTTTTTATAACAAAAATATAAAAAACTAATTGCGACTTTTTATCTCACAATTCTGACATTTTTTTTCCCTCAAAATCTTGAGTTTATATCTCGCAAACCTGACATTTATATCTGGCGACTATTTTCTCAGAATTGCAAGAAAAACAAATAAAACCATTAAAGCCGTCTTCCTTTCTTATAGAAGCTTGTTTTCTCACAATTGCGAGTTTATAAATAAATTACAATTCTGAAATTTTTTCCTCAAATTTTTGATTTTGGCAACTCTGACTCGAATTGCTGGAAAAGGAGATCCAGTTCTATTGTTTGGTTCCGTGGCGGACTAGAGTCGTGGAGTTTGAGCAGAACCGGCGAGACGAGCGGATGATCTCGAGTGTGGAGCAGTGAGAGGGACAGAAGCCTGTTTCCCAGCGGGATGAACGGGAGTAGACCTGACGGGTGTTCGTCGCGAGCGCTCGGGACACAGGGAAGCCAGAGACCGGAGCTGTCTCTCTTTTAGCTAATTTAATTTTGAAGTGTAGCGCTGGAGTGACGGCGGGGTGCGAGCGCTTCATAATGCACAACAGAAGACATAAATGCACTCGCTTCACATCAAACACACATTTAATGTGCTGAAATATTCATGTTTGTTTAGTTCAGTTTATCAACTGATAAATTAAGAGCATCTTGATTCTATACGAAGAGACACTTTGTTTCAATAAGCTGATAATCCAATAATGTTTGTGTGTAGCGATATATAGTTATATAATTCAATATAATGTTTGTGTGTAGCGGTTGTGTGTTTTGTGTTACAGTCATGTGTTTGTGTGTAATGGTTGTGAGTTTGTGTGTAACAGTGTGTTTGTGAGTAACGGTTGTGTTTGTGGTTGTGTGTTTGGGTGTAGTGGTTGTGTGTAACAGTGTGTTTGTGTATAACGGTTGTGTTTGTGTGTAGCGGTTGTGTGTAACAGTGTGTTTGTGAGTAACGGTTGTGTTTGTGTGTAGCGGTTGTGTGTTTGGGTGTAGTGGTTGTGTGTAACAGTGTGTTTGTGTATAACGGTTGTGTTTGTGTGTAGCGGTTGTGTGTAACAGTGTGTTTGTGAGTAGTGGTTGTGTGTTTGTGTGTAACAGTGGTTTGTTTGTATGTAGCAGTTGTGTGTAGCGGTTGTGTGTTTGTGTGTAGCGGTTGTGTGTTTGTGTGTAACAGTGGTTTGTATGTAGCAGTTGTGTTTAGTGGTTGTGTGTTTGTGTGTAGTGGTTGTGTGTTTGTGTGTAGCGGTTGTGTGTTTGTAGTTTCGGCTCATTAAAGCTAGCGAATGGTTGGCAGGCTCCAGTGAATGATGTAATTAGGAGAGTCTAACGAGGGCAGAGATTAATTAGCCCGTCGGGATCAGCTGAGTAGAGGGACATTCATGAGACATTTCTGAGGGACCCTGGAGCAGAAACGCAATGCGGAGATTTCCTATCCATCCATCCATCCATCCATCTATCCATCCCTCTCTTTGTCTCTCTCTCTTTCTCCATCCCTCCCTCCCTCTCTTCATTCCTCTCTCTCTCTCTCTCTCTCAATCCCTCTATCTCTTCATTCTTCTCTCCCTCTCTTCTGCCTCAACTTTGGCTCATCCATCTCTCCCACGATACCAGCAAACGTGAGAAACATACTGATGCCAGTCATGTCTCTCTCTCTCTCTCTCTCTCTCTCTCTCTCTCTCTCTCTCTCTCTCTGTATTTTTGATTCATACCTTCATCTTTCTTGTTTCCATTCACTTTGTAGTCCTGCATTTGACGGTGAGTCACACAGTTTGTTTGCTCTCTTTGTCCTTTTGTTTGCAGAAAACACAGATGAACAACTGCCCACCTTCAGAGACCGACGGTTGCTATGGTGTGCCTCGGAGGTTGCTAAGGCGTTCTGACATTAAACAGTTGCTGAAGTTTTCTAGGTGGTTGCTATGCAGATGCTGCCCTATTGCTAAGGTGGTATTAGTGGTTGCTAGGTGGTGGAGAGTAAGATGTTTAGGAGTAGATAAATAGATAGACAGACAGACAGACAGACAGACAGATAGACAGATAGACAGATAGATAGATGTCTTATTTCTCAGGTTTATTATCTAGTGCCAATAAGACATCAGATCTTCAGCTGCTGTTATTGATAGGACATGATAATGAAACACCTAACGAGTCATGTGACACACTGCATTATTACATCATTCAGTCACATGACCAGAGACAGCGTTTATCCCATCACTCCGGCATTACTAAACCAGATCACAAACACCTGCAGACAAACACACTGACCTGATCATAAGACAACCTCGCCGCCTCAACAACAGAGGAGTATCCTTCAAACTACAGTAACTCACTGAACAACGGAAGACTGTGTGTTTCTTAATGTTTCATGCGTTCGTCAGACTCGACCATCCAACGGTTGAGACACACTCGTTATTTTACACTACAGTGTAGTGGATCTGGAACTACGGACTCGCATTGAGGCACATTTGTCCAATCACAGCTGCACACGGGATGACATCATGATGTGTGTGTGTGTGTGTGTTTCAGCACATGAAAACTCCCACAGATGGTCAGCTTGACTCACCGTTTCCAGGCTCACACTCCTCGAGATCTTCATCATCACTCGGACATTCAGCGGACGCTACTAACAGATCGTCAGTATTCTACAGAGAGATGGAGGGGGGGGGGGGGGGGGTCGTCGATGAGAGGGGGGGGAGGGAGGGAGAGAGAAGGGAGTGAGGGGGGGAGGGGGAGAAAGAGATTTGAAATTGAGTTCACCTTTGTTATTACAATTAATTTGCTATTACAAAAAATTACAAACCATTCATAAACATACAATGTACATAATACTTCATTTATTCCCCATAATTCTACCAAACCTAGAAACATCAGACGCTCGTTGACCTTCTCCCCATCAGTCTGTTTTTCCCAGTCTTCCAAATCGCAAATTTTGCAGTGCCAGATAAAACAATGTTATAAAACCGACACATTTTTCTTTTGGACCGAACACTTTGGCCAAAAAATTATCTTCTTTAAAAAAATAATGGGCAGATATTACCCATGTACAATCCTCCACTTTGGATCGTCGGTCCGCTTGTCAATCGCACATTTGTACAGGGGAAAATCAGATCCAAAAAACTGTGTCCATCTCTGTTCAAAAATCGCATATTAGAGACTTGAACACGTATATCAAGTATAGAGATTTCTTCCCAACAGAATCAAAACTGTCCAGAACTGGTGTTTTCAGCGTCAGTAAACAGCTTTCATCTTCTACCCGGTCTTCCACAGCCTACCAACCCTAACCCTAACCCTAACCCAAAAAACTGTCCATACCCTTCAGCCCAATCATTCAGGACATCTGGGTCTTTCAAAAAAACGTTTAGGGATGCATAGGGATATTGCCATTTTTGCTTCACCTATGATGAAGATCTTTTTTTTCTACATACCGATAACCAAAAATAAAACTCTGAACAGTAAAAACCTCATTTAACTTTTTAAACAATTCAAGAATCCAAAAAATCACCCAACCTTGAACACTCCATAAAACAATGAAAGATGAAAACTTGAACACCGTTTCTTACGCTCAGCCTCGTGAATCCTTACATCTTCCAAGTCCTCTACCATCCGCCCATAAGCTCCTTTAAGATCAGGAGTAAAGAAAACTTCAGGAAAAGGATCTTTATTGTTTGGAGAAACCCTCCCTTCCCCAGAACTCACAAGTAGAAACTTTTCTTCCATCGTAAGTCTCTGTTTTAAAACCTCCAACAATTTTCTTGCCAATCTTTCCGACCTTCATTTTAGACCAGATGCTCCTGTGAGTTATTTAACTCAGGACCCCCAGCTGCTCTCAGATCACACAATTGAACCTTTCTTGAAGGAAACATTACATTTCACACCCACATTTTCATTAGATTCATCCAACCTGGCTCCAAACACAGTCGGTTCCTCTAACAACCAAAATAAAGATGTCTCAGAAACTCCTCTTCTCTTTTTTAAAAAGCTACAAACTCTAAAAGTCCCCTTCAGTTGAATCTTGTTAGAATCCAAAGTAAAGTCCAATCCCAGATCTCCAGCTTGTTTTAAAATGGACTTGAGTGGAAGGAAGGTGGTTTAAAATATTTTGGTGTTGATTTTGGAGATGATTCAAAGGGGTTTTGGAAAAAAACAAAAGGACGTCTGGAAAAATGGAGAAGGTTGTGGCCAAAAATGTCTTTTAGAGGATGGGTGACAATCATTAATAATCTGGTGGCTTCAATGTTCTGGCATCGGTTGGCATGTATCGAGTGGACTTCTCGTTAAACTGCAGGCTGTAATAGTGGACTGTATGGAGTGTAGGACTGATACACCTCAGCCTTTCGCTTGCAGGCCATTCAAAGACTTTTAACAGGTCCAGAAGATCTAGTTTGGACAAACGTTGCTGGATTTGTTAGTTTAGGAGGGCATCTTCCCATTTTCTGCCTTCACTCTTACTCTTACACCAGTTTACTTTAGCTGAAGACATTTTACCAAACTCTATTATAATTACCTGTAAAGTGTTTACTACTTACTAATATCGTCAACATAAGCTGATGACTTAATCTTACACTCAGACTGCGGTCTACTCCACCCATCAATGTCTGCCCTAATCCTCGACAGCAGAGATTCAACGGCTAAAGATCTAACACGCCAGATAGTGCACAGCCTCTTGTTCTTTTAAAGGAGCACTCAACCCTCCATTAGTTTTGAGTATACTCTCAATGCTTGCATACAACACCCCACTCATTTTGAGGAAACCTGTGCTGAAACCAAACTCACTCAGAGTCCTCCAGAGGTACTTATGCTCAACCCGGTCAAAGGCTTTTTCCTGGTCTACAGAAATAAGGCCAAAACCCAATGATCCAGAGACGTCCAAAATATCTCTAATTAAATGAATGTTGTCAATGATGGATCTATTGGGAACACAGTGTGTCTGGTCTATATGTGAAGAGTTCAGATGCAAAAGCCTCTAAGTGCCATTTGAAATTTTCTTCTAAAATGATCATTTTTATCAAGCTTGTATATTTAAGTTCAGTAATTTCACTTAAATTGCAGTGAGGAGTACCTATTAATTGTCATTTAAGTGAAATTACTGAACTTGAATAAATAAGCTTGATAAAAATGATCATTTTAGAAGAAAATTTCCAATGCCACTTAGAGGCTTTTGCATCTGAACTCTTCATGTATAACCCCACCGATCACTTCTCTCACCCTAACTGGTAAGGCTTTAGATCAGAGCATAAGATTGACACCGGTCACCAGTTCTTTATGTTTCTGAGCTCTCCTTTTTTCAGTAATGGTGATCACTGGTCTACGGCAGCGACCCCTCTGGCCAAGCTGGCATTGATCACCTCCAGAAGATCATCACCCAAAACTGCCCAGATTCGTCGATCCCTGGAGCTTTCCCCGCTCCACTCTCTCGAGGGCGTTACACAGCTCACCTTTCCCACAAGGTTTTTTCCAGCTCAGGGTTTGCTTCATTCAAAACTAAAACTTGCTGGCTATATCCATCTCCTCTACGTGGCCACTCCTATATAACTCTGAATATAAACCTACCGCTCTTAGCCTCTATAATTTCTGTGCCTGATTCAGATAACAAGGAATGCATGTTTCTAGACCAAGCCCAAAAAAGAAACTGGTTGGGCCATCCATCTATGCGTACCAGAGCACCCTGTGCTTTAACCCCCAACAAATCATCTAAAACTTTCTTTATATCCTAGTTTAAAACTTTGACACACTCTCAGATTCCATTAAAATTTTGCATTTGGATGATCTCTTTCTCTAGATCTTTTAGAGATCGGGAAATGTCTCTCGAAGCAATGAAAGTATGCATACGGCACATTATCTCTATTTTTGCAATGTCCCACCATTGTTGCAAAGAATTAAAGGATGACTTCTTATTCTTAACTTCTTATGAACTTCTTATGACTTCTTATTTCGTCTTGGCTTTACATTACTGATACAAACATTACAACTCTGAGAAGCCTACAGGAGAAATTGCTCATTGTTTAATAATATTAAAATGATGTTTAAAACAACAGCACCTGTCTAGTCTAGCCATTTCCACGTAACGTTCCCTCACTTGTGTCCATGTGTTTTATTCAACACCCTCCAAATGTCATATATTCACATTTTTCACAATTTGTTTTAAAACACGGCATATGTGGTTCTTTGTGATTTCTATCAATATTATTTCAGATCATCATCCTCGGCCATATCAATGTCTCTTGAGACTTTTTCATTTGCATCATTTGCTTTTTCAATTTCCCCTTCTCCTATTTCTTCTTCATTACTCCTATTTACAGTTTCTTTCTGATTCGTTTGTTCACCATTCTCAAGCACTTTCCCACATTATCTTTCTGTCCCTCACCTTCAATATTATTCGGTATACTGCATCATGTTCCACATTCAGGACATGCACGAGCACAAGATGTCCGCCTTGTCAACATTTAAAACACTTCATTGTCATTATAATCCATTCATTCACTTCAGCATAGACCTGAAAATGACGTTTCCATCTTCAACTGTGGAGAATCTTGAACGCTTTAGAGCGACAGACTGAAGCTTGATCTCTTCTCAAAGACGACACTCGGCAGATTATTGATGAAGAGAGAAAAGTTACACAATTTCACGTTTTTTATGATTTTTTTTCGCATTTTATGAAATATGTTTTCTAAATAAATAAAAAAAGAAAATCAAAGCCATAAATCTATACAAGTTGTGTTCCAAATTTTAACCTGATATCTCAGTAAATGAGCGTTCAGTGGGCGTGTGTTCTTCTGCAGTTCCTCACGCTTCCACAAGAGTGCTCGTTTCGGACCGCAAGTGGGACTATTACTTACAAGTAAAGTGTTGGACTCACTGAACGAGTGTTTGACTCACTGATCGTGTGTTTGACTCACTGAACGAGTGTTTGACTCACTGATCGAGTGTTTGACTCACTGATCGAGTGTTTGACTCACTGATCGTGTGTTTGACTCACTGATCGAGTGTTTGACTCACCGATCGAGTGTTTGACTCACTTATGAAGTGTTTGACTCATTGATCGTGTGTTTGACTCACTGATCGAGTGTTTGACTCACTGAACGTGTGTTTGACTCACTGATCGAGTGTTTGACTCACTGATCGTGTGTTTGACTCAATGATTGTGTGTTTGACTCACTGAAAGGCAAGCAAAGTTATTTGAGTATGTTTGACTCACTGATCCTGTGTTTGACTCACTGAACACGTGTTTGACTCACTGATCGAGTGTTTGACTCACTGAATGCGTGTTTGACTCACTGATCGTGTGTTTGACTGACTGATCGTGTGTTTGACTCACTGAACGTGTGTTTGACTCACTGATTGTGTGTTTGACTCACTGAACGTGTGTTTGACTCACTGATCGTGTGTTTCTAACTCACTGAAAGCAGAGTTATTTGAGTGTGTTTGACTCACTGAACGCATGTTTGACTCACTGATCGTATGTTTGACTCACTGATCGTGTGTTTGACTCACTGAAAATCGAGTTATTTGAGTGTCGTTGACTCACTGATCGCGTGTTTGACTCACTGATCGTGTGTTTTACTTACTGATTGTGTTTGACTCGCTGAAAGCAGAGTTATTTAAGTGTGTTTGACTCACTGATCATGTGTTTGACTCACTGATC